ACCTCTTTGTTGTCTAATGTTTTGGGGTACAGAGGAAGAGAAGAGGACTATCTTCTATGCATTGGGTTTACAGGCAAGAAATATACCCTGCAGCTGTTGAATCCTATCTTTCCCTTTTCTCTGGGGAGCTTTTGTGCTGCCTGTGACAAGTAGTGGTGTTTCACAGAAAGGCATCAGGGTAACAGCAGCACTCGTGCAGGCTCCAAGAGAGCTCTTGCATCTTGCTGTCCAAACTGAAAGACCCTTAGCTGTGAAGTTAAAGGGAAGAAAAGCCTTCCAATTTGGCAGTAGGATTAATGTTTATCCCTTAATCCTTAATCCCAAAGCAGGCTTGTGGCAATTAAAGATGAGATTCTCACACACTCATCAAAAGATGCTGCTACCTTTATTATATATATACCCTACTCTTCTGTCATTCAGGGACCTACAGAAAATGACCTGGACTAGTTTTTCTCCTTTTTGGTGCAGATATGAAACTTTGACCAGCTTTACATCTGTCTTTACCTTTTTGTCCACTGACCACATCCTAAATACCAAAATGACTGGTACCCTTTGTCACAGGACTTCATCCTTTTGGAATTATTTCAAGTAGTCTGTGCATGTGGTGGGCACACAATTCCTCTGGCTGACTGGAGCTGTCATCTACAAAGAATCTCCTTAGAAGGATATCATGGTCACTGCAATAAGTTATTAAAAATACTTTTAAACTCTTTCAGTCTCATTGGTGATTATATTACACTGGTCTTCCCTAGAGTCCACCCAGATAGCCAGCACTTCTGCTCCTTTTTTTCCCCAAAACCTATGGCTGACAACTGAGAACACTGAGGCCTGCTGCTCATTTTCATAAGCACACAGAGTTCATACCTGTTCCCTCCCACTGGTGTGTGCTGGTTTATGTTTGACCTAGAGTTATATGAAGGAAGCACAGGAGGCAGCTGCTGCTGCTCCAAACCACTTCTGAGACTGAAATTTTCCTTTCAGGTCACTCTTTTAGAAAGCAAGCCTCAGACCTCAGCAAGGACAGAAGCAGGGTATGTAACCCATTCTTTATTTAGGTGGGATCCAGAGCATTTTTGTTGGGGATGTGGAGAGGGGAATGGCAAGTGCTTTCTAACTCTCCATGGGAGAGTTGTTACTCTGGCATGAGTAACAAAAAAGACAGTCATAGTCCTCCTCTTCAGCTTTACTTCAAGCCTTGCTTACTGACAGTCTCTCTGGGTGTCCTAAGGCATACACACCTGTGATGAGATAAACAGGCACTGCTTAAACATCCACTCTCAGGTGCTGCCAGTTCCCATCATTTTTTTTGTACTAGTGAAAGTTTCTAGGTGATTTAAAACCAGGTTAACAAAAGTTTTACAAAGAAGTACAATAGTGAAAGTTCCAGATGACTCAAAGCATCTGCATCTGCCTTCCCTCATCCAGATGCACAGGAGGTGGAGACCAGAGCTAGAGAATGTGCATTCTGTATGCACTCACTTGATGGCTTTAGATCTAGGTAGAATATTCACCCTGCATTGTAAAAGTTCTTACCCCTGCTCAGAAACATAGACTGCTTAGGACTTCCCATCCTAAAAACATTTGCCACATTTTTCATCCCACTCTTACTTTTCCCCTTCCCTTCACTGCTTACCGCTTCTGACATCAATGCAGTAAAAGAAAACAAAATCTCACATGCTGGGCCCTGGTTCTCTGAACTTCATTGCTCCAGTTTTCAAAAATGAAAATTTTTTATAATTGACAGGACAAGAGGATATGATCTCAAGCTCTGCCAGGAAGGTTCAGGTTGGACATCAGTAAAAACTTTTTCACTGAAAGGGTGTTTAAGCATTGGAAGAGGCAGCCCAGGTAGGTAGTGGAGTCACCATCCCTGGAAGTGTTCAAGAAATGACTGGACATTGCACTTAGTGCTGTGTTTTAATTGGCGTGGTGGTGTTCAGTCATAGGTTGGACTCAGTGACCTTGGTGGTCTTTTCCAACCTTGAAGATTCTAAGATTCTGTGAATGAAGCATTTAGACATCCCTTCATCTCCATGTCCATGCACAGACATGTAATTGAATGGGAGGATCCTTGTTTTGTCGGAAGAATATTCTTCCTGAAAGGTTTTAAAGGCTAATGTACAGCAGTGAAGGGTTGTATAAAATGCTACATGATGGGATTCTGTTAAAATACAAATCTTTACTGTCCTCATGAGAGCAGTAAGAGGCATTACTTACTGCCAGCATGGCCCTCCTACTCATGGAGGGACAAGATTCTGGAGAGAAGGTAATAACTTATGTGGAAAAGATTGAGGGAGCAAAGAGTTTACAAGTGAAATCTTCCTTGTCAGTAAACCAGAGCAGAGGTGGAATGTAACAACTGTTGAAAGATTGTTAGGTATTTGTTTAACTTACAAGAATGTGGAAAAGCAAGTAAGTATAAAGGGAAAGGTGGCTAAAAATCTTTCACTGTTTTCTTATATTCTAATAAAGAAAATAAAGCTACATTTTAAAATTCAAAAACAACATTTCCTAATTCTTCCATTCTAAGCATTTTGAAGTTTTTCTAGCTGTACATGTGTCCATCAAATAGTGACTTCCAAAGTACTTTCTATTGTACACGTGTCCATTAAATATTGACTTCCAAAGTTCTGTCTGCCACTGCGTTTGATGATGCAGTGATTTTGCCCAAACTTTAAAAACTAGCCATAGCATCCGGGCAAATACAAGGAATGAAAATGTAAAAGTATGAAAGATAACTGTAATCTAAAACTATTTGTGCTAAACAGCTTATATTACAATGTCAACAGGAACCAATGTCATAGTTGTCAAATGCTAAAAGGGAAACTTGGTGCTTTGTTTTCATGGTTCTAGGAAAGAAAATTGTAAAAAAGTAAACAAGACCTTGAATCACCTGCTATATGTTTATTTGGGTCTTTTTTTAATAGCCTACAACATTCTGTAGTCACAACAACAAACATTACATAGTTTACTGTTTATAATGTCCCCTTTAAAAGTCTATACTAGGTCAAAAAAGAGGTTAGTAAATATAATTAATTTCTAGTCCTTGGAATTATTCCCCATAGAAGAAGTTAAAATCTCTTAAGTGTTTTGTTTTTTTTTTTAAGTACAGTACAAAAACATCCACCTTAGGGCTATTAATTTTCTCTGTTCTTTACTGTGCTCAATAAAACAGAATTTTGATACTCACTACCTGCAATTTCTTTTTCTTTGCAGCACATTTGCTTTTCTTTGCAGCACATCCTAAATTCCTTAGTGAGACTAAATGTGAATGAAATTTGAATGCCAGGACTTCAGGATTCAACAATCTCATCCTATATTCATAATCTCTTTTACTTCAAGAATCAGATCTTGTCCTCAGCACACGAGAATGTCCTAAAAATGTAAAGATTAGTATTTGAAGTTGTGAGGTATTTTGTGTTTCCCACATGGTGTTTGAGCCTCTCAGGTGAAAATTTGCAGACTCACTCTAGTAGTCACAGCTGTTACAAGTTAGGGTTTTAATATAATCAATGACTTTGAGATGTTTGGTAGAGTGAGATTGGACTGTGCTGTCATATCCTTGTATTTCCTATATAGTGGGTAATCTCTAAAAATTGGCTTACTCTTTGCTTTGGTATTTGCAACAGGAATGTCATAGTGGTTTCTACTGACAGACTTTTTCATTTCCCAGAAATCCCTTTGCATGACAGCAATAAGATGATTTGAGTTTAATAGTACAGTATTCTGCATAGAGGTTTGTACTTGTGCTTTAAAGAAGCAGTGTGCTCAAATCAGAACAATAATTGTTCAAAGCCTCACTTTTTTCCTCTATGATGTAGATTTTCCTCTATGATGTAGATTTACTTTGCAGATGTTAGATGGCCACTGGGGGCTTGGTTCCCCAAGGGTTTACACTTAACAATTTTTAAGCAGATTGTGCTGGAGGACACAGAAATTCTTCCATTGGGTTGTCATTTCATTTCAATAAATGCTTGTCTAAAAGCAGAAGCAGATGGTTGCAATCTTAGTTAGAAGGTTTTTTAAAAAAACTACAGCACGCAAGCAACCACTTCAGGGCTAATAATTTGCTCTGTTCTTTACCAAGCTCAATAAAAAAGACCTTTCTTGCTTTGAAGAGGTTTTTGTCTTGGATTTAAAGGGAGACAGGCAGACAGATGGCATAATGCAAGGAAAATACAGAGGGGGAATATATTAATAAATGGATTCATCAGCAAGCTGCACAAATTACGTTATCCACCTTTTTGTATAACTTAGGAACTTACAGTTCAGGAAATACCATTTTTCATAAAACATGAACTCTTGCAGCAGAGTTTCAGGCTATTGTGCCTTTTCTGTTCCTTCACTGTGAGCCTTGTTCCTGCCTATACTTCCAAAACTATCTCACAACCATTTCAAGAACAATTTCACATTGTCAACATAGTCTGAGGCTCCAGGAGCCCCAAAAGAGGTCCTCCTCTTAAAAATTTGAGGCTGTTAGGTGCTTCTGTGTGACAGCAATCTAAATTCCAATTAGGTAATAGCCCTCACAAGGAGAGGGCTCAGGGAAAGAGTAGCGTTGGCCTGCTCTGTTGAGATGACTGGATGATTGCACTCTACTTGGGTATTCCAAACTGTTTAAACCTGTTTGGATAACTGATTAAGGAATTTAGCTAATATGCCAGCATTACCAGTTCCATGGTGCAAATTAAATAGCTAGGCCGAGATTTCAGCACCTACCTAGTGGGGTCATGGTGCCCCCCTTAAGGTACATAAAGAAGAGTTACTTTTTGGGTCAGAGGAGTTGCTCACATTTCTTTGGGGCCCGTGTTCTGACCAGACAGCCTATGAGATAGCTCATGTTAGACTTCAGAGAAAGGGTAGATCCCATGGGAACCTTGTAACTTCTAGTGTGACATTAGTCCTCTCTTCCACAGCTGTTAAAAACGGGCTCTACAGGTCACTGCACAGACAGCCAACTGCAGAATTAACGCTCCCTGTTTTCACTTTGTTTCACCCAGGTTCACGATGTTATGCCATCAGCTAGTGCTTGTCTTCGGACTCTCGCTAGCTATCGGGGTGTGTGCATCAAGGAGCTGCTACTCAGAAGCCCAAGTCTCCATATATTTTTTCTGCAACCTCACAGATATTCCAGTTGTGCCAAAGGATACGGTGAAGCTTTTCCTAACTTACAACTATATCAGACGAGTGACTGACACTTCGTTTCCGCTGCTGGAGCACTTGTTGTTGCTGGAATTCGGAACGCAGTTGGTCTATCCTGTCACCATAGGGAAAGGAGCTTTCAGGAACCTGCCAAACCTGCGTATCTTAGATTTGGGATACAATAGGATTCTTCGACTGGATCTTGATGCTTTTGTAGGCTTGCCAAGTCTGACTGTACTCCGCCTGTTTCAGAACTACCTTGGAAATTCCATCCTTGAGGAACGTTACTTTCAAGATTTGAGATCATTAGAAGAATTGGATCTTTCAGGGAACGAAATCACCAAACTTCAGCCTCATCCATTATTTTATAATCTGACAGCCTTGAAAACTGTGAACCTGAAATTCAACAAGATATCCAACCTGTGTCAGAGCAATCTTACCAGCTTCCGAGGAAAACATTTTTTTGTTCAACCTCAGTTCTAATTATTTGTACAAGGCAGAAAGTGTGGACTGGACCAAATGCCCAAATCCTTTCACAAATATTACATTTAACTCACTAGACCTTAGTGAAAGTGGCTGGAGCACAGAGCTAGTCCAGTATTTCTTTACAGCCATTAAAGGGACTCAAATCAGTTCTTTAATATTTAGGGATCATATAATGGGTTCGGGATTTGGCTTTCAAAACTTAAAAAATCCAGATAATTATACTTTTGCAGGACTAGGAAGAAGTAATCTCATTTCCCTTGATATTTCAAGGGGTTACATTTTCTCTCTCAATTCTTTAGTCTTTCAAAGCCTTGGTAATCTGGAAGTGCTGAACCTTTTCAAAAACAAGATAAATCAAATCCAAAGGCAAGCATTTTTTGGCTTGGGCAACCTAAAAACTCTCAATCTCTCAAGTAATCTTTTAGGTGAGTTGTACGATTATACTTTTGAGGGCCTACATAGTGTAGCATATATTGATTTACAGCAGAATCATATTGGGATGATTGGTGAAAAATCATTCCATAACTTAGTAAGTCTGGAAATAATTGATCTCCGAGACAACGCCATTAAAAAGCTCCCTTCCTTTCCACGTCTGACATATGCCTCTTTAGGTGACAATAAGCTAATGACTGTAGCTTACACAAGAATAAATGCAGTGTACCTAGATTTAGAAAGAAATTGGTTGGCAAATGTAGGTGACCTGTATATTCTTTTCCAAGTTCCAGAACTGCAATATATCTTCCTAAAACAGAATCGGTTCTCTTACTGTGTGAAAAGTGATAATGCTATTCAAAATAGTCAGTTAGTCTATATGGATCTGGGTGAAAATATGTTACAGCTTGTGTGGGAGAGAAATTTATGTTTGGATATGTTTGGGGCACTGTCCAAACTCAAGGTTCTCCATCTGAATAACAACTACCTCAGTGCTCTTCCACAAGACATTTTTAGAGGTCTGACATCTCTAAAAACCCTTAATCTGGCTTCCAACCTGTTGTCTCATCTTTCTCCTGGGCTTTTTCCAGAGAGCCTAATGACCCTCAACTTATCTGGAAACCAGCTGCTTTCCCCTGACCCTGAAGTCTTTATGACTTTGAGTATTCTGGATATAACACATAATAAGTATGTCTGTGATTGCTCTTTAAAGAGCCTACTAGTGTGGCTAAATGAAACCAATGTAACCCTAGCTGGCTCAGAATCTGACAGGTACTGTGCCTACCCACCTCAATTTGCAGGGGTACCACTGTCGTATCTGGAATACGATGGTTGTGATGAAGATGAACTCCAGGAGGCACTCAGGTTCTCACTATTCATCTTCCTCTCTGTCACCCTTCTCATGTTTCTGGTGTCAGCCATCATTTTTACTCGCTGTCGGGGGATTTGTTTTATCTGGTATAAAACTATCGCCAAAAAAATAATAGCCAACCGTCCACAAGTAACAGATAAAAGTGAATACAGATATGATGCGTATCTGTGCTACAGCAAAAATGACTTTGAATGGGTCCAGAATGCTTTGCTAAAGCACCTGGATTCACAGTATTTGGATAAAAACAGATTTACCTTGTGTTTTGAGGAAAGAGACTTCTTGCCTGGGGAAGAGCATATCAGTAATATTCGTGATGCCATTTGGAACAGCAGGAAAACAATTTGTGTTGTGACCAGGCAGTTTCTCAAAGATGGGTGGTGTGTGGAAGCCTTCAATTTTGCCCAGAGCAGGTACTTCTCTGACCTGAAAGATGTCCTCATAATGGTAGTGGTTGGGTCACTTTCTCAATATCAACTGATGAAACACAAACCAATTCGAAACTTCTTACAAAGGAGTCAGTATTTGCGGTGGCCTGAAGATTATCAAGATGTAGACTGGTTTTTAAATAGCCTTTCTTCCCAAATTCTGAAGGAAAAAAAGGTGCAAAAGAAAGCCAATGGTATTGAGCTGCAGACTGTAGCAACTGTGTCACACTGACAGTGTGGCAAATATCTGACACTGACATTCCTGGCAAATATCCCATTTCTGGCTGTGCCATGGCAGGAGTAAACAGAAGTTTGGATCATCTTTCCTTGAAAAGACAGGCAGAGAACTGATTCAGTATAAATCCTACAAAACATAGAGACAGCTTGAAAGCAACGAGCAAATAGATCAAAGTACAATTATTTTACGGACTGTGACACACATTTTTCAGAAGAATTAAATGAATCACAGACACTCCACATTTTGGATGTTCATCTTCAGAGAATTCAGTTCTGATTTTCAGAGTACTACCTACTTACAGGTGGGTTTCAGTTAGAGAAGGATGCTTATGGTTATTTTTATAAACAGAGCCCATGGAGTGACCAAATATTGCTTTCAGGCACTGCCTGACCATCGGTTCATGGACTGTTTCTGTGCTTTCTGAACTTTTAACTTTATGCTCCATTTCAAAGCAGAATCATTGTTTTGCACCTTTGTGCTTAAAATTGTTGTAACACAGACTTCATTTGTTTGTTTCCTCCTCCATTACCCTCAGCTTCTCAATGGGAACGTAACAAACTTTGGACTTCATTCGTGCCCTTCCCCTTCACAACTTCTGTTACCGTAAAACTACAGTCATTGGTTTACCTCATTTGCTGCTGTTTCAGCCTGGTGCTTTTTCAGTTGAGCTGCCTTCTGCCCTGCAGAGAGGAACAGGCATTCCCTTTGGATCTGAAGCAAGCCTAGGCTTGAAAAGCAAACAGGAGACTACCTCAGTAGCTGTGCAGGCTGTACACCGACCCAGTGACTGACAGACAGCTTTGGCATTCCGGGATTAGGAAGTACACTTGCACTTTGTAATTGGACTGTGTCATTTGGGTTGGTTCTCAGCACATCCTGTGTCCTGATCAATTCTAAGGTGTTTTTCTGCTTCTACTGAAATGTTTTTCTGGGGTCATTAATGCCTGGTAGTCTCTTACTTCTCTAATTATTTTCCCACTGTTTGCTCAGGTGTGTCTTCAAGATGTTGTTCAGGGGCATTTTAACAGAAGTCTGACTCGGTGTTCACTGATACAGAACCTGCACCTATTATTTTGACTGTGACATACTCCTTGAGTGTACTGTTCATCTCTGTACATTTATTCAACAAAAGACTACCAAAATACTTTCAGCAGGGCCTCAGCAAGGCTTTTTGCTGTAGTGAGGAAGCAGGGATGGGAGGTTTTATAAGTTGTCTATATTGACCTTAGCTGCAAACAAATAATACCATCCAAGCTGTTTTGACAGAGACGAAAAAGTACAATCCACTTCACATGAATGCAGTCATTTGAACATAGATGCGCCTGTGGCTGATCTAATTTACTCTCAGCACACCAATATACAGGATTTCTATTGATAAAATTACTACAGTTACTACAGTATTTCTTCCCTCTCAATCAGTGTAGTCATTCAGGAAGAGGGAATTGGCTAAACCTTGGAATATTTCTCAGGCGGCACGGGACACGGGGTTGCAGATCGAAGAAGGGATGGACTGAGCTGGGGAATCCCTGGGTGTCGCTGTTGGCTCAGGTAACAGCCCGGGTTTCCAGAACCCCTCCTGCCTCCCCGCCACTGCAGCTGCCGGCAGTGGGGGAAGACGGTGCTGCAGAGTGAGGGCTAGGGAATCATCAGCAGCCCGGGCTTCCCAGAGCCCCCCTGGCCGATCAGAAAAGCCACCCCGGGGCGTTTCAGGAATGCGTCTGTACAATGAAGATCGTCTGCAGGTCCAGGTTGTTTGTGCATCTGTACGTGGTGTAAGAGTTGGGGATTTTAAAAGCTCCCTTAGAAATTATATTTGAATGATTGTCACAACACGTTTTTTCGTCAAGTGTTGATTAAGAGCCCTCTCCAGCTTGGACCTTACTGTACACTTGCAAGGCACTCCTATCACTTCAGGAAGTTAAAACTTACTTCTGCTAACCTACATGTGCAGGGATGACGAGTACATACAGAGATGTCTTTAACTATGGCTCTTCCATTTCATTTGAAATGCTGCTGTCTAGCTCGTGCTTATGCCACTGGCGGGAGGCGGGTACATAAAGGTTGCATTTACTTCAGTCTTTGGAAAGGTCTGTCATTTTACATAAAGGTTTTAATAAAACTTTTGCATGAAATTTCATTGTCTGCCTCTGTGCTTGCTAACGTTTTGGAAAATTAAAGAGATCACACCTGTGTCAGAAGCAGCTGGGAAAACTTTCTACCACAGAGGCAGCTTAGAAATGTAGAAGAAACCCAGCTCCCATCTGTGCCTTGCAAATTCTGTTGCAAGGGGTCTACAAAAAAAGCAGTAAAAGACCTTTTGGAGAACATGCTATTGAACCATTCCTGATTGTGGAGTGGTCTACAGGCATATGAATAACTGCAGTGTAAAATTTTTAAAGAGATCCAAAATATCTTTCTTTTTTACTTGCTGTGAAACCATTCCAAGCCTGAGATGCTCAGAATAAATACAGTTGGTGCAGTCTGTCCTATATGATGAAAAATCACCTTCAAATAGATGCCAGAACCCTGAACATCACCTCTGTAGAGTCACCTATCTTAAATGACAAAGCCTGGGGAATTGTCGAGAAAGAGCTTGTGCAGACTTTATACTCCTCTGCTCAGCAGGAACCACAAAAGCCTCCTGTACAAAAATGGAGAATGACTATGTTTTATGAATTAAGGCCATAAATTGAGCCTTAAATTGAGCCTCAACCTCATAACTATTGATCGGATTTCCTTCAGGCTCGCTGGGAACATTACTGCTCTATTAGAATTTTATGGCTCCTTAGTTAAGGATAGTCTCATCAGTTTTACTCACCTTCCTCAGTGAAAAACATTAACTTGTTGGAGGGGGTCCAGAATAGGGTGTGAAGTGTGGCACTGGCTCTAAAGCAAAGCTATTAAGATGGAAGGCGGTGAATTTATTTGCAGTAGCAGCACAGGGAATATCCAGAGGACAATGACTCAGTGCCCCGTGGTATCAGCTCAGCTATTCAATGGTAAAAGCCTCCTGCCACCATTGCAATATATATTATAAATATTAACTGGTCAAGCAGGCAGTGTTGTTCAACAGCAACAGCTATTCAGCCTGTCAGAGTCCAAGGATTGCAAGGGCTCCTCCTCAAAATCAAGGTACTTGGGACCAGGACCCAGATTCTACAAGCATATCCCTATGGAGAGTAACAGAAGCCACCAGTTATATGCCTACATATTATTTCACATTTTACATTATTATTATTTAACATACAGTGAAACCTGGCATCCTCTCCACTCTGACATGCATACTAATCTCAGCAAAGTGCAATTATTTTTGCTAATCCCAATCCCTAATCCCTCCTCAGAGAGACTGTTCCACATGCAGGTAGATACATCACCTTGTTAATTAACAAGATGATAGATCTAACTACTAACAGTTAGTATCCAGCATTGCTCCCACTTCAATAGATGCATTACCTGTGTGGAGAACACTGGGATAGATGAGACTGCAGAGTTCAGCCTCGAGTGGGACGCTCCTACATTGCTCAGAATCACTCTGCCTTTAACTTTCTTGTGTCACATCATTAACTCAGCTCCTTTGCTGACTTCTGGGTCTTTTTCAGCAGGACAGCTCTCCTTCTCACTGCCAGAGACCATCTGCATTTCAGATCATGGGATCCCACTTCTCAATTTCACGTGGTACTGATTATTTTACAATGGCTTTGACGTGTTCTCTTCTTGCTGGAGCTGCAAATAGGAGCAGCCCAGTTAAATCACACAGCAAGGCTCATACCTGGCAAAACACTTACAAAGAGCAATACACAACTGAGTGTCTGGAGGGAGTGGTGGAGATGCTGCAAATGGAGCAGAAGCTTCACATGTGAATCTCTGGCAAAGCAGCAAAGTTAGGAAGGGTACACGTGCTTAAGCATCCTGCCACAGAAAGGGGACTTGGGTCCCATGGGAAGTGGCAACATGAAGACAGACAAGGACATCTTTAGGGTCTGACTCTACAAACATGAACCAGCACAATGCCCTGATGTAGTAAGCAGATTCACCTGAAAATAGGACTAGCACAGACAAATATTTGCAGGGTTCCTTTGCACTTATACAGTACTACCAACAGCAAGCAGGCAGCTCTGTAAAATAAGGCTTCCAAAATCAGAAGACTGGTGTAAAAAAACAAAAACAAACACAAACACAAACAAACAAACAAAACCACAAAAACAAAACAAAAAACAAAGATTGGGAAACAATTATACATGTCTGGTATTTGACACTGTAAGACATTTTTCACTTTCTACAGGATCATAAGAAGGTTCACGCAGTCCATGAATAGAAAAGACTTTTTGGAATAGCCCAAGTATTTCAGGACTTCTGTATAGCTGTGGGGAACATCTGAATTAATCAGGCCTTGAATAAAGAACTTTAGGAAGGTGATGAAGAAAAGATAGGCTGGCCTTTCCAGCTTCCCAGACCTCTCTGAGCAGTGGTCTTACATCACGTATATTCTCTTCCATTCCTGCAAGATGTTTTAGCTGTTTCTGTTAAGTAGGAGCAGCAAAGCTACAGCCTTGACTGCAATGAAATAATGGGAAGGAGAAGTGACAATATGAACACTTCCCACACCGACAAATTGACATCAGCAGACCTCACAAGGCCTCTTCTGGTGGTTATTTCATCAGACTGCTTGTCAGACTCTGAGAAGGTATCAGACCTTTGGAATGCCAAACAGCTCTTTCTACTTTTGGATACGAGCACTTTTTCATCCACAGCTTTTAGTTACCTGTTTTCTGATTTGTCACTCACAAAGATGAGCTGAGCATCCTGGTCTTCACTCTCACTGTGCTGCTCCTGGCAGCCATCAAAATTCCATATACCTGGAACAGCGCTGCAGGTGCTGCTCCATCATTATTTCCTTTAGCCCAACAAAAGCTGCAAAGTAAAGTTTAGAAGCTGAGATTTACCCAAAAGGCCACTGTGAGCACGGACTTGAGCGACAGAAAATGCTGTATGCCAAGCAGGTACCAGGAGTTTTAAATTCAGCCTTATTAGTCAGCCTTGCATCACATCTAGGAACTATTGTTGGGCCAGGCCAACTCCTATGTGATTGCTTCTTGCTGTTAGTACAGATTGACAGGAGGCTTCTCTTCCCTTTCTAACCTTAACTTTGCTTTTTGTACTGTGTATACACCATGTAGTGGGTGCCAAAAATAAGTCTGCATTTCCTTTCCCAATATGCAAAAGTCAGTATGTAGGTATGACATGAATTATTTCATAGTGCAAAGACTATCTATTCATAGCAGACTCTGTTTGTTTCAGACATGCAGTTTTCCTTCCTTTCAGATAGCCTATTGTTTGTCTTTTTCATTTGTATTAAAAATAAAATCTTTGAGAACTGCAAGCAAGAGAGAAAAAATATATTTCTTCTGAAACTAACAATTCTCCAAACAGGAAGGTTACCTTTTTCCTGTTTAGACATTATGTTCAAAGAAAGGAAGTCGGGATTTTCAATGATAATAATAATTACACGGCATGTAAACATCAGTAAGTATCAAAGAAGGCTTCACTCTCTATTTAGTGGGTCCCAAATGCTACGCTACTGTTCAGAGTATTTTTACCAGTTCACCAGCCTCTTGCAACATTGGATTTCTAAGCAGTCATTGCACTGGGTTGCTCAGCTGTGTGCAAGATCCCCCAGTGAAAGAACAGCATGATCAGGCTGCCTCAAGCTGGCATGGAGGGCAGTGATGGAGAGGAGTGCAGCAAACGGAGAATCCTCCTACGAAACAATGAGTCTGATATGGCAGATCTGGGTGGGGGTTGAGTCAGGATTACACATACCAGGCAGTGTCATCTTTTCATGTTGCCACCCAAAACTTAGCACTTCAAGTCATGGAGTCTTTTGACGTCGTTCCTAAAAATTGACTTGTCAGCGCAATTTCAGCATCGTGATTAGGTACAGTATCAAAACAGATACCTGGTACATGTGGTGCCTTGTAACAGTGAACCTAGGAGTGCTTTATAAAGAGAAGTGCATTTTATTATCCTCTCATTAAAGACAGAGGAGTTGAGGCAGAAAGAATCAAGTTACATACCTTTGGTCGCGGTCAGTACCGAGAGGAGAGCTCATGTCTGACAAAGGATAAGCTATTAGGTCTCTTTACTCAATTTTGTAGGAGTTTTACAACATGCATTTTTATTACCTTGGAAACGAAAGTTTTCTATTTATCTGCAGAACTAAGTAGCAGAGCAAGGCCTCCACTTCATGTGCCACTAGTTTGCCTATGTGGGGCAGAAGAAGTTTCACAGGGAGGAGAAGGTAGCTGAAGAGTCATTGAGAGTTGCCAACTTGAGTGCCAGTGATTTTGAGATGATCTGAGCCTATTCAGTATAGGAGCAAGAATTCACTGGGCTTTTCACTAGGAGTGGCTGACAACTTTTCAGGTTCCCACGTGGTCTGGTATTTCTGATGAGGGTTTGCAAATTAAGAACAACAGGAAAAATAGTGGAAGACATGGCCCCGTGAGGACATAATCCTCAAGAAGATGGAGCTGTGGGAAGGGGAGCAATGGAGTAGAGAAAATAGGGAGAAGGCAAAGCAATTTTAAACACACAAACACTCTTTTGACAACTCTGAGTTAATAAAATTTCACTAATGATCAGGAAAAAGCTTTGGAATGAGCCATTTGGATATGTTGCTTCAAAACAATGAAGCCTAAGAATTGAATGTGAATAAGGAAAAAAAGAGAAAGGTGAGACAATTACCTGTGATTTAGAGTAGAGAGTACAAGAAACAAAGAAACATACTGCAACTATAGCTTCATTTTTCCAAAGATCTGATGTGCTGGAATTTACTCCCTTTAAGTCAACCGAAAAGAAAACCCAGTCCCATGCACTCAGCCTTCCCTTTGGGATGGTGAGAAATGCCAGGGTGAGTCACTTAGTTTGTATAAGGGTGTTATCACCTGCAGCTCTCCTCACATAAGCATTCGACACTCCTGAAAAGCAGGCCTTGAATTTCTCACTCTTTTCCTAAGGAGAATTGCCTTCAAGCTGCAAAGTGAACACATTCCAACTGCCTGCCACAAGCATCTTGCAATTTTCAGTGTCAGCTTCTTTAATGTCAAACTTTGCTTTGCAGCTTCTTTTTGTA